CCCCCCTTTCCCCACACACACCCCTATATAAACTAGAACTGGAAGCCAAAGGCTAACTTAAACCCTGCTTCTATATAACTTATACCCCCGCAATACTGTAAACCAAAGGCTAACTAATACCCCCAACTCCTATATGGTAAATCAATATTTTCATTAAGATGGGGCAGTGCTTGTAAAATATTCTCTATAACATTTAAATACATGGAACCTGTAACCCAATGTTAGGCTCTGGACAATTTTATGTTTAGTAAGTGACCTTGATCTAAAACAAACCATGCCCAAAATCAACAGGGTTTTCTTACTTCCCTTGTGCAACCTAAGTACAAACTTTTAGCTTTGTGCATTTATTTGTTCCGAAGGTAGCATTCAGACAGGTCATTCGTTCTGAGAAATTATATTTTTAGTAACAGTGACCTTGACAGGCTATTTTCCAGAAAAGGTAGTTGTATTTAATGATTTACAGGTTGGTAATAGGGTTTTTCTCCCAACCCTGTCTACACATATGAAAGTCTACTTAAACAGGGATAAACTATAACAAGAGATCCCAGAGGGACTGGGCACCCGCCATCGTACCATCTTTAATAGTTCTACGTCAATTAGATCTTTTCTCTTCTTTTCTCTGATGTATTTGATCAAGTCATCTAAACAGTAAATGTTCATTGAGGAAACTTTTGATCTAAACTTCATACCACTGTGTATAAAGGACAACCTTCAAAGAGAGTTTGTCGTTTCTCATATTTTACTTGTGCAGTACTAAATGTGAAAGAAATGGAACTGATCATTGCAATATGAGAAAGAATTGCTAAGCACTTCCTGCAAAATAGTGATGATATTCTTGAATTGTCAAAATCGAAGATGACCGCATATGGCCATGTTGCTTTTCTCAATCAGTTTTTGAGAAATAGCAATAACAAACTTTTCAAAAATCCAAGATGGCTGCCTGGGGGCTATTTTTCTAAAGATGTGTCTCGATATAGAACATTCACAACTAGGCAGCAAAGGACCTTCATATGAAATTTGAGAACAATCCCTATATTTTCTGAGAAACACAATAACAAACTTTAACTATCAAAATCCAAGATGGCTGCTCGTCAGCGATTTTGTTTAACTGATCAGTCTCAAAGATAAACATGTTTTAAGGGAGACACAACTTCATATCATGATTATAATGTATACTAAGTTTCAAAGAGATCCTTTAAAAATGTAGGAGGAGATTGCCGGACAAAAATCAAATACTGAAATAAACAAAAGGCAATAACTTTTGGAAAAATTGTCGAATCAAAGTTCTTTTAAGGGAGACACAACTTCATATCATGATTATAATGTATACCAAGTTTCAAAGAGATCGGTCGATGAATGTAGGAGGAGATTGCGGGACAAACAAAAGTTTATGCCGGACGGACAACCCCATACCATAATACTTCCGTCAAATTTGATGGGCGTTTAAAAATCCAAGATGGCCACCTTTCGGCCATTTTGATAATTATATCAGTCTCAAAAGTAAATATGCACAACTTGGGACCAAGGGAACTTTGCAAAAGAAATTTGAGAAAGATACGTGAGGTACTTTCTGAGAAATAGCAATAACAAACATTCACTATCAAAATCCAAGATGGCCACCTTACGGCCATTTTGTTTTCTGATTACTCTCATAATTCAAGAAGCACAACTAGGGACCGAGGGGAACTTAAATATGAAATTTTAGAAAGATCCCTCCAATAGTTTTTGAGAAATAGCGATAACAAGAATTGTTTAAGGACAGCCAGACGCCGGACTGACGGACGGACGGACGGACAGAGAGCAATTTGAATATCCCTTCATCTGATAATGGTGGGCTAAAAAGATTGTATGCTGTCAAAAAATACAAAAATCACATCTTATAGCAAACTGAGAGAAGTATCGTCACATTTATGAAATGCAAAGCTAAATTTCCGAAATAGAGCATGGAATATCCTATAATCACTGGATTCTTAACAAATAAATTCAAAGCTTGCGTCATATTTTCCTGGAGGCTATTTTAGAAGACATCTGAATGACACATATAGTAAACCAAAGTAAACTTTCTCATCACAACAGAAAAGCAGAAAGTGCAACATCATATTTTTTTTTTAAACAAATGAACTTTAAAATGCAAAATTTCAAATAAAACAGCAGTTTATTCATTTTCTTTACAGAAAATTCTTGTTTACAGAGAGGTTTTCAGTGGGAATACCCAACATGATTAAAACAATTTTCATTATGTCACGTTGTTTTTTTTCTATGAGCTCACTCGTCCAATAAATAGAGCAAGAGAGAAAACCTGAATTTGTTTGATGTTGTATAAAAACAAATTTCAACCATTAAATGAAACTTTGTTGACCTTTACATTACTTTACTGCCATCGATATGTCCATTTACTGAGAGACACAATTGATGTCTAAAGTGATCTGCATTTAATGTGTAGCATAGTGGGTTGTTTGTTACCACAGTCGAGCCTGCTGCCTGTGAGCCCTGTGTTGGAGCAGTAAGGCAGCTATCAATACAGATCAACGGCCTAGCTCCACCAACCTCGTCCTCGCCTCTGTAACCGAGACAAACGTGATTGGACAACCACAAAATATTCAGACGTAAGTGGATTCATTTCTGGGAACATTTTGTTATTCATGATGCCTTTCAATTCAGTTACCAAGGTAACAGGACATAATCAGAATGTACGCTTTCACTGAACCAGACTAGTGGGATCAGAAAAGTGTTTATAGTTTTCAAGCTGAACATCTTAATACATCCACTGATTTTACAGTTTGATACAAAGTGGAAGTATTTCTCAATATGTTTATTTCATTTTAAGATAAAATCGCTACTTTATATTTGAATGGATAAAAATGAGCACCGAAGCATTCATAGATTTTGTGGAGAAATGATGGCCAGCTATAGCTTTTACATGTGGTTCAATAAAACACCAAGTGACTAAATGGAATTATGAAAACCAGTGCACAGTTGAGGATGATGTAAGGAGAGTCCAGATCCATCAATTTGATTATTTGTCTACGTAAATTGGACATCAAACAAAAAACCAAGACGTCATCATTAGAAGTATCCACTTCCTAACAACAGATCTAGATGTATAGACTGTGAGTGGGAGCACGGCCACACATCGCATTTTATCATCATTCAAAAGACCGAACTTTCTGGCAAAGACTTGTAATGATATGCCGTGAACGTCATTTAACATTACTGGACACATGACAATGTTTTAATGATGGAAAAACCTGTCATAGAAGTCACCGTTATAAGTTATTGATGTTGTTACCATGGTGATCTAAAGAACCGGTTATTAGCATAATTTCTTCTGACAAAAACACTATCAGATTTCCTCCGGAGAATGTATATATAAATGGAAATCATGCAGAATTTGTTCGCTTTGACGAGAATGCGTTGGTCCAGAATAGACTCTCTGCCGTCTGTATGTCAGGATACTGATAGTTATTCTGCTCACCAAGGCATGATCACTCTTCAGACATGGAAACAAAAAAAAGATTCCAAGTCCCAGTAATCGTGCACATGATAAGTGCAATTTTTGGATTACACAGCGGTACTGAGGACCACGAGAATCACTCCTTCAGCATGTCCAACGGAACTAATATTTCAGTGATCCCTCCGCCAATGAGGATGCCTGCAACGGACGAGTTCATCTCACAGGACAGTTTACGGTCTTTAAAGTTTGCATTTGGAATGATTATTATACCTTTGCTTTCTCTTTTTGGAGCGATTGGAAATATTTTGAGCTTAGTGGTGCTATTTCAACAACGAATGAGAAGTGCAACCAATTTCATTTTGGCGGCTTTGTCAGTGTCTGATCTCCTGTTTCTAATGCATAGCTTGCTCTTTTCCGGGATCAACATACAGATATACCTGAACCCCTTCAAAGGAAAAAATGTTCGGAATATAATGTACCCCTTGTTCGGAGCCTATGGAAGTTTGGTAACTGCTCGGATCACGTCATGGCTAACGGCATTACTGAGTATGGAACGGTTCATAGCGGTACATTTTCCCATGAAAGCAAAGCGCTTCTGTAGTAAGAAACATACACTTATTGGGATATTTCTCATCTGTATTTTCACAATCATCCTGTTTTTACCTTACGCATTAAAATACAAAGTCATAGAGAAAACCAAAAGGAATAAGACCTACTCTATATTGCTGAAATCAGACCTTGGTACCAACATAGATTTCTTTGACGTCTATGGAATTCTTATGAATATCCTGTTCAGGTTTTTGCCTATATTTGTGCTACTTGTTCTAAACTCTTTAATCATTTATGTGGTTAAAAAAACATGGACACGGCGTCAAAGTATGACTTCAAATTCCTCTGTGCAGTATAAACATGGATCGGGAGAGCAGTCGCACATCACAATAATGCTGATGATAGTCACATTTCTATTTGCTGCCTGCATCTTGCCTGGTGCATTGAATAGTACTGCCACCCACATATGGACAGAATATTCCAAATTTGGAAAGGCAAGGAATTTAAAAGAATGTGTTTCCTATATAACCTACTTTTTAGAGACGCTGAACTCCTCCGTAAACTTTCTGATATATATGGCACTCAGTAAAAAGTTCTGTGTCACTTACAAGGAAACATTTTGCTGTAAAAAAACACAGAAGCGCTCAATAAGCTGGGCCAGTTATCATTCAAAAGAAAGGACCATGGAGAATCGACACCAGAGGAACGTGACAATTGCGAGTGGAAGCACTGATTCTAAGTACTTTGATATTGAGAACCAGATTAATATGGAGCCTTTACGATTTCTCTCAAATGGACACAGAGATACAGAACCAAAGTGACTTATGCTATCAGGTATCTATGGCTGTTAATGTAATCATCGACTTAAAATACTGCTCAGATCATCAAAGTCGATATTCAATCATTGAATTATTTATTTTAAACAACTGCTAACTGAAATAAAAATGGAAATGAATTATCTAGTTTTGTAATGATTTTTTAAAATTAAGACAATGACAATAGAATTTTATCATATAGAATTGGTATAGGGGATACTTACAATTAAGGACTCCTGTACCAGTTTTCCCCAGTAGGGCTAGTTTGATAAATCATATTTCTGTTTCGATATACTTTAAACATCATTGACCATTACTGGAAACATGACAATATTTAAATGGTGGAAAAAATACTGGTATACTTCATGTTTCAAAATATCTCATATGGTTTAAAAGTTGACAATTACAGAAAATTTTGCATTTATTTGACATTTAACCTAGAGCTAAAAGTTACCAGGTAATTAAGGTGACTAAATACCATGCTCTGCCTACTTTCTGTATGTGATGCAGGTATCATTTACCGGTCATCAATATATCTTCAACAGATTAGAATTTACAGTCTGGCAAGACTTCGTTGAAAATGTGCACTTACTTGACCTTTAATCTCGAAGTAAGTCACAGTGACCTATTTATATTACACAGTACACCTTCTGAGGGCGAAGTAGGTATATCATATGTACTTCAAGTTTCATAAAGATATTTGTAATGATTTAAAAGTTACAACAATTTTCTGAGAAGTTTGCACTTAATTTGACCATTGACCTTTGACCTGGAGATAACGTGACCGTGGTGACCCAAAACCATGCTCTGCACACTTTTTGTGTGCGATACAAGTATCATCTATGTTTCACCAAAATATATTAAACAGCTTAGAACTTAGTCTGGACAGTTACCTGCAAGCACTTAAAAACATGTATGACATTTTTTTTTGCAAGGAGTTGAAACCAATGTAACATGATTACATCACCTTTTCCCATGTGGTGCTATAGCCGTCACAGCTTCCTCTTTATCAATATACACATTACTAGAACAAGGTAAAAGTTGACAAAGGACAATTGATTGACAATGTTTCATGACAAAGCTCACGTATTCCTTCAGAAAGCTAGTACTCATCCGACCTACATAGCATTTGACCTTAAAGGTAATCAATGTGATTTATTTTCTTCAGCCATTTGTTTCAAATATCTTTGAATATATGTCTTTGACATTATTTTGAATAAAAATGAACATAAATATATGAATCATGGTCATAAGGTTACAACCAGAGTCTGGTACTCGTGATATGAAGCGATTCGTGACAGCCTGGTATTGCATGTCAATATATTCATGTCAACAACTGCAAGACAATGGATAAAAGAGTTTGATGAGGAGCAAGTTTAAAAGGTCGGGTGATGGATGGTCTGTACAGGAACTGATGTCAGTGTCATAGCATGTAAGGACACGCCAGGGTCAGCTAATGACGGTTGTGAAATAGATGTGAACGTGATGTGGTGGAACGTGATGTCATGTGGCTGACATCCGGTACATATAGGCTCGTCTCCTACATATACATGTAAAATGAGATAGTGAAATGGAGATAGCATTTACTTCAAATATACCACTGTAAACTTTATCATCAAGATCCGGGGCACTGAGAGAGTGATCGTAGAGGGGTATTATTGTATCCTATGTTAGTAATAGGCAGTCTATTTCCTGTAACAGACTACCCATTAAAAGGTGAACTAAAGACCACGAGAACTATTATCATTGCTCCTATAAAGTGACGTTACTGTTTACAGACTTATAAACATTCCAAGCCTATCTGTTCATACTTGTATTAAACACCAGGCTCAGAATTCCTTCTGATTCCTTCCTACAAGAGGCACTGGCAGTGTCTCATAAATATTAATGACCTTTAAATTTCCACAAATCAAGATGAAAGTCTCAGATAGTACAAACTGTGTGGTCCTCTACATGACCCAAGGTAAACAGCCTAGCTGTTAATATAAAAAAAGGATTTCCTTTCGACAGTCAGTGAATCAGTTATGACGTGCATGTGATTCTATCAATAAGCTGTAATTGTTGTTGGAACATAAACAACTATATATTACATCAACAATTACTGTATATCATGAAAAGAAATCACAAGCTTTTGGTAAACATGATTGTTAATAACACAAAGTATCCCAACAGCTTTGGGCTATTAACAGTTATATTGATCTGTAAACATAGAGCAGATTGAGACAAAAGTAATGTACCTATGTGTCAACACAAAATCTAACATTTTAAAGGTATTATCATTTGAATTTAATTGAAAATGTTTTTTCAATCTCAAAACTCTCTGAAATAGCACTGCAGAATAAAACACTCTAAATTATTTTAATTCTACAGGGATAGGTTTTCCCGATCATTCCCGACAATTTCAAACAAACTATTTTACTGATTGGTTGAACAGATGCTTCATGGTGTTTCATCAATTTAAAAATGGTAACTAATGACTCAGTCAATTTTCACAAACCTATAAGGACAACACAGCCTTGTGTATGCTAATGTCTCACCCAGTTAATTATCACAAACCTATTAGGACAACACAGCATTCTGTATGCTAATGGCTCACCCAGTCAATTTTCACAAACCTATAAGGGCAATACAGCCTTCTGTATGCTTATGTCTCACCCAGTCAATTATCACAAACCTATACGGGCAATACAGCCTTCTGTATGCTAATGTCGCACCCAGTCAATTTTCACAAACCTATAAGGACAACACAGCATTCTGTATGCTAATGTCTCACCCAGTCAATTATCACAAACCTATTTTCACAAACCTATAAGGACAACACAGCCTTGTGTATGCTAATGTCTCAGCCAGTCAATTATCACAAACCTATTAGGACAACACATCATTCTGTATGCTAATGTCTCACCCAGTCAATTATCACAAACCTATTAGGACAACTCAGCATTCTGTATGCTAATGTCTCACCCAGTCAATTTTCACAAACCTATAGACCACACAGCCTTCTGTATGCCTATGTCTCGCCCAGTCATTTTGCACAAACCTATATGGACAACACAGCCTTATGTATGCTGACATGTCTCACCCAGTCAATTTTCACAAACCTCTATGGAAAACACAGCGTTCTGTATGCTAATGTCTCACCCAGTCAATTTTCAGAAACCTATAAGGACAACACAGCCTTGTGTATGCTAATGTCTCACCCAGTCAATTATCACAAACCTATTTTCACAAACCTATAAGGACAACACAGCCTTGTGTATGCTAATGTCTCAGCCAGTCAATTATCACAAACCTATTAGGACAACACAGCATTCTGTATGCTAATGGCTCACCCAGTCAATTTTCACAAACCTATAAGGGCAATACGGCATTCTGTATGCTAATGTCTCACCCAGTCAATTATCACAAACCTATTAGGACAACTCAGCATTCTGTATGCTAATGTCTCACCCAGTCAATTTTCAGAAACCTATAAGGACAACACAGCATTGTGTATGCTAATGTCTCACCCAGTCAATTATCACAAACCTATACGGGCAATACAGCCTTCTGTATGCTAATGTCGCACCCAGTCAATTTTCACAAACCTATAAGGACAACACAGCATTCTGTATGCTAATGTCTCACCCAGTCAATTTTCACAAACCTATAGACCACACAGCCTTCTGTATGCCTATGTCTCGCCCAGTCATTTTGCACAAACCTATATGGACAACACAGCCTTATGTATGCTGACATGTCTCACCCAGTCAATTTTCACAAACCTCTATGGAAAACACAGCGTTCTGTATGCTAATGTCTCACCCAGTCAATTTTCACAAACCTATAAGGACAACACAGCCTTGTGTATGCTAATGTCTCACCCAGTCAATTATCACAAACCTATTAGGACAACACAGCATTCTGTATGCTAATGTCTCACCCAGTCAATTTTCACAAACCTATAAGGGCAATACAGCATTCTGTATGCTAATGTCTCACCCAGTCAATTATCACAAACCTTTTAGGACAACACAGCGTTCTGTATGCTAATGTCTCACCAAGTCAATTATCACAAATCTATAAGGGCAATACAGCCTTCTGTATGACAATGTCTCACCCAGTCAATTTTCACAAACTTATAAGGACAATACAGCCTTCTGTATGCTAATGTCTCACCCAGTCAATTATCACAAACCTAAAAGGGCAATACAGCCTTCTGTATGCTAATGTCTCCCAGTCAATTTTCACAAACCTATAAGGGCAATACAGCCTTCTGTATGCTAATGTCGCACCCAGTCAATTTTCACAAACCTATAAGGACAACAAAGCATTCGGTATGCTAATGTCTCACCCAGTCAATTATCACAAACCTTTTAGGACAACACAGCGTTCTGTATGCTAATGTCTCACCCAGTCAATTTTCAAAAAATTATAAGGACAACACAGCCTTCTGTATGCTAATGTCTCGCCCAGTCAATTTTCACAAACCTATAAGGGCAATACAGCCTTCTGTATGATAATGTCTCACCCAGTCAATTTTCACAAACCTATAAAGACAACACAGCCTTCTGTATGCTAATGTCTCACCCAGACAATTATCACAAACCTATAAGGGCAATACAGCCTTCTGTATGCTAATGTCTCGCCCAGTCAATTTTCACAAACCTATAAGGGCAATACAGCCTTCTGTATGATAATGTCTCACCCAGTCAATTTTCACAAACCTATTAAGACAACACAGCCTTCTCTATGCTAATGTCTCACCCAGTCAATTTTCAAAAAATTATAAGGACAACACAGCCTTCTGTATGCTAATGTATCACCCAGTCAATTTTCACAAACCTCTATGGACAACACAGCTAATGTCTCACCCAGTCAATTTTCAGAAACCTATTAAGACAACACAGCCTTCTGTATGCTAATGTCTCCCCCAGTCAATTTTCACAAACCTATAAGGACAACACAGCCTTGTGTATGCTAATGTCTCACCCAGTCAATTTTCACAAACCTCTATTGACAACACAGCCTTCTGTATGCTAATGTCTTACCCAATCAATTTTTTCACAAACCTATATAGACAACACAGCTTTCTGTATGCTAATGTCTCACCAAGTCAATTATCACAAATCTATAAGGGCAATACAGCCTTCTGTATGACAATGTCTCCCCCAGTCAATTTTCACAAACTTATAAGGACAATACAGCCTTCTGTATTCTAATGTCTCACCCAGTCAATTATCACAAACCTTTTAGGACAACACAGCGTTCTGTATGCTAATGTCTCACCCAGTCAATTATCACAAACCTAAAAGGGCAATACAGCCTTCTGTATGCTAATGTCGCACCCAGTCAATTTTCACAAACCTATAAGGACAACAAAGCATTCGGTATGCTAATGTCTCACCCAGTCAATTTTCAAAAACTTGTAAGGACAACACAGCCTTCTGTATGCTAATGTCTTACCCAATCAATTTTTTCACAAACCTATATAGACAACACAGCTTTCTGTATGCTAATGTCTCACCAAGTCAATTATCACAAACCTATAAGGGCAATACGGCCTTCTGTATGCTAATGTCTCACCCAGTCAATTTTCAAAAAATTATAAGGACAACACAGCCTTCTGTATGCTAATGTCTCGCCCAGTCAATTTTCACAAACCTATAAGGGCAATACAGCATTCTGTATGCTAATGTCTCACCCAGTCAATTTTCACAAACCTATTAAGACAACACAGCCTTCTGTATGCTAATGTCTCACCCAGTCAATTTTCAAAAACTTATAAGGACAACACAGCCTTCTGTATGCTAATGTCTCACCCAGTCAATTTTCACAAACCTCTATGGACAACACAGCCTTCTGTATGCTAATGTCTTACCCAATCAAATTTTTCACAAACCTATATAGACAACACAGCCTTCTGTATGCCTATGTCTTGCCCAGTCAATTGTACAAACCTACATGGACAATACAGGCGTTTGTGGGCCCATGTCCCACCCAGTCAATTGTACAAACCTACATGGACAATACAGGCGTTTGTGGGCCCATGTCTCACCCAGTCAATTGTACAAACCTACATGGACAATACAGGCATTTTTTTGGCACATGTCTCACCCAGTCAATTTTTCCAAACCTACATGGACTATACAGGTGTTTGTGGGCCCATGTCTCAACCAGTCAATTTTTACAAACCTACATGGACAATACAGGCGTTTGTGGGCCGATGTCTCACTTAGTCAATTGTTACAAACATACATGGACAATACAGGCATTCTTTGGCCCATGTCTAACCCAGTCAAGTTTTACAAACTTATATGGACAATACAGGCATTTGTGGGCCCATGTCTCACCCAGTCAATTTTTACAAACCTACATGGACAATACAGGCATTCTTTGGCCCATGTCTCACCCAGTCAATTGTTACAAACCTACATGGACAATACAGGCATTCTTTGGCCCATGTCTCACCCAGTCAATTGTTACAAACCTACATGGACTTTTTTTGCAAATCAGTTTCTGTAAGTCTTTTTTGGAACATTTTTCAAATACTTTTGAGTTCTAATTAAATCCAAAGTTATGTGTTGTGTGCTGAGTTGTCTTCCATATAATAGCCTTGTCAACTAAATATACTCATTAGTTTGTTATGATCTGGGGTAGAGTCTGTAGCAACGGGTAACTTGGGGTTATGACAATAATGGTAATAGTGAACTGGTTTCTGGCACCATGTGTCGGGAACTTGGGCCACAATCCACATATTTACTAACACACAATATTAAACGTTTTTTTAATCGCCAAGGATTTATCACATATCATGTCCAGGTGACCGTCAATGTTTATAAAATACATGATTGATCGAAGATGTAACAATTATGCCTGAAAAAAATGTTGGTAGGGACCATTGTAGACTTTAGAGTCAAATTTAAAAAGCCATCAGCTAGGACCTACTGCACATGTTTTGTTAGACTGAATGTGGTCAGCATAAGGTAGGGGACTCCAAGTCCGACCTTCAGCTCTAATTTGGTTTATTGGTTTGGTTTCGGGCGATGTAATAAGTTGAACCTGTTGTTCAGATTTTATGTAAAGGGAGAATTTAGGTTTTGACATTTCATTTAAGTAAGAAGTTGAAATTATTCTGTAGATTTGTAATTCTAATTTCAACTGTAAAATTTCATATATAGACCTAGTAGCATCTATTCTGTCCACATTTCAAAAGTTCATGAGGTACAAAATTTTGTTAATTTTGATGCATTTGCAAAATTAGGGGAATCAAAACTCTGGTGAATTTTAGCAACCATACATTATACTGAATATGGTTTGTCAACAGGACTCTTTCAAACAACAATCTTTTTAACATTTCGTGCATCTTGGAGAATATGTTTAAACGGAAATGTGTGGCATACCCTCATAAATGTTAAAAAGATGCATTTCAAACCTTAAATAACTGTTGTATGAATTAGAGATTTTTGTTTGAAAGAGTCCTTTTGACAATACCATTGTCTTCTATTACGTTCTATTACACTCACTTTCATTATTTGAAATTAAGAAAAAGTAGTTTTTTTTCACGTGAAAAAGAAATACGCTGTCCTGAAAACAACCTTTTTCGCGGGAAAGATGATGGGTTGCCAATGGTGACGAAATACACAGTTGAGCAATAAACAAATAGTTCCACTTTGCACATGTTAAATCATTTAATTTACATACCAGCATGTTTAAAAGCATTTGCATTGTTATCTTTAAAATTAACAATAGACCTTAATTTGAAACAAAAATACCCAGTAAAATATTTTAGTTACAACAAGTCAGTCGGTGTTCGCGAAGGTAGCTGACCGATAAACAACGGTTGTGCAGCGGCTAAGCTCATCAGGTCACGATGCGGTTGGAATGTCAAAGAGCTGGATAAATCGAAATGAAGTTTCTTAAAAAAATTAGATAAAATCTAAAAGACGCTGTTGACTGAATTCTTGTATCGACCGCCTGTGACAACGGGACTAGCTCATCGTTTGTGCATTCAGCATGTGTTACTGTCGCTGAGGGGACTGGCCGACAAGCCAGGAAGATTTGACCTGCTTCGCCACTTGCAACAGACGCTACTGTTATAGAGGATAGGGATTTTTCCCTGTTCTGTTGAAAATGACCTGTTATAGGATCTAATAGCAGACTCACTTCGGTGGCCCGACATAAACATGATGTGCCTTGACTCAAAACCAGTCATACATTGCCTGTATTACCGTGGCACGGAGACAGTGTGCTGTGGATTTTTGTTCAGCACCCTTAGTTAATTAATTTCTTGTTGATCAGTTAATAGTTGTTAACACAGATTTTTTTTTTTTTAATAAAATGTATTTTCATGTTTTTAAAATTTTACATAGTGAGGTCAGAGGTGAGGTCTTATTATGGTACATGTGGTACTGTTAATATTACTTCACACTTGCTTTTATTGAATCATAACAACATTTTTACTTAGTACTGTTATCTAGAGGGACTGCAACACAATGTTAATATTGATTCATACAACACTCATTAATGCGTACAACACTCATTAGTTAGCCTTAGATCAATCTGGTGACATCAAGGGCTTTCCAGTGCATTAAAACAGTGCCTGTACATTAAGACATGTTAAATTTACCTTTGATAAGTCAAGGCTTGGTATATTGTACATTGGGTCAAACTTGCTTTTGAATGGTCCTCATTAGGTCATGAAAGATGGCATAAGATTATATACTTGATGCACTACCAAATACATTAATAGACTTTATCACTCTTGTGTGATGTCAACACAGAAATCTCAACACTGGGTAAGATTTTTTGAAGTTTAACACTGAAGCCTCGGGCTAAACTTAACAAAATATACCCTTAAGTTGATCATTTTCTCCAACAGATTACTGCACTAAAAATAAGTTGTAATGCTGAACCAAACAAGCAGTGCCGTCATCAAGGGTACATGGAGAGTGTGACAACCCTAGTTACACTGCATACAGTGATGTCACACTTGTTTTAAGAATAGTAGCATGTGTCAGCCATACTTCACTTGGTAGGTGAAGACGGATTAATAAATCTTTTCCATAGCAAAAACAGGAATTGACTTTGAAGTGTTGGAGAAATATCAATCCATTATGGTGTCCGGTTCTTTTCAAGCTGTTACAGGACAGCAACAGTAGACAACATTTGGTCAACTGTTATCTAGTATGGGACAAAACGCAAGCAAGAAAATACATGATAATATCAATGTAAAAAATAATGTACTTACATATTTTGCGAAGAAGGAGCGATTGTCACTCTGTGATCCTCTGCTTTTCTCCGATTCCTCCCTCTTAATCTTCTCTGTATAACTCTGGGTGTCTGGTCTGTAGGCGACAAATTACCATGGAAGTCAGTGATACAAACTTCTAATATTTTATAATATATATATATATATGATATAAATGATATAAATAACACTTTCTGAAATGTTCTCAAAAGTGCCACTTTAAGGATCCTTGTTCCCCTATGGTTGATATCCATTGCTTAGTTCCAGGGGAAATGCTGCTTAAAGCAATATGGCAAAATTACTCATTTTTGGCCCTGCACCCCTCAACCCCTCATGGGGTAAGCCCCTTCATTTGTACAATTTTGAACCAAACACTACCTAGGTATGCTCCCAACTAAATTTGGTCAAATTCAAATCAGCAGTTAAGAAGAAGTTGTTTTCAGAAATTTTTGACAGAGGGAGAGACAAATGGACTGATGACGTACGAAGGACGCCACGGTATAGCATGAGGTCACCTTGGTCCTTTGGAACAGGTGAACTAACAAAGGTGCTTGACATACCTTACATTATTACAAAATGTAAGCATTTTTATATGAAACTAGCTTTATTATTTATTACTTCAAACACATATCTTTCTGTATAAACAAGAAATTCTGGGGTACAGAGCTAGCATATATGCCTACTACTTACGCTGGTCCTAAGACTGTCTGTGATATGTCTACTGTGGTATTCCAACGAGTCAAGTCAGCATGGTCCATATTGGTACCCAGACACTGGGCCGGATCAGTGGATATGGAAAACCCGATTACCTCCCCTGCTTGGTCAAAATGGATCCACAGATGATCAGTCAACTGTGACTCATAAATCCCGCACTGAATAAAAAACAACACTTTCGTAACCTACGTAATCTCATACTTAATAAATAAACGACAGGTAATTCAATAAAATATGTGCCATGTCATACTTTATTAACCCTTTCACCCCTATGTAACTTTAGTAGACTCTACCACGCATTGATCTGGATGAGTCCATTATGGTTTACAGTGGTGAAAGAGTTAATGAAGTCAAAATAATATAACATACCATTACATATTCCAACAAAGGATTCAAAACTATATATATTATACATGATATAACACATGCTCAATAAAACCAAACTTAAATAACATATTTAATCCTACATTGGAATAACAAATGAACAAATAAATAACATGTGTGCATTATCAATGGGTTAATTTTATAATTAGAATACTCATACTATCAGAATATCAAACCAACTTCATTTCAGAAACAATGCTTAATTCAAAATAGAAATGTATGTAGCATACACAATCCTCCAATTTTTATGTCTTCATTCAGTTATTTGATTACAGTGCAAAAAATCTGTTATCTGGATAATTTGATTGAACTGTTATAAATTTCTGGTCCAGTCTACTACAATTGGAGTAAAGAGAAATGTGGCAATACTAAATCAGCCTATATATATGTGGAGTGTTATAAGAAGGCCAGACTAACAGCTTGTGTAGAGATGTAATGGCACTGGACTGGGTAGATCACCAAAGGCTGGCAAGGAGCATCTGTCTAGGAGTTCAGAGGTCCTAGGTTTGAATCTCAGTCTAGCCATGCTTTTTGCCTCTCCTGTTACAGCTGTGCCTGAGCAGAGATTCCAGGTTTGAATCTCAGTCTAGCCATGCTTTTTGCCTCTCCTGTTACAGTTGTGTACATGATCAACCCTTCTTTTAAGTGCTGGGTGAATGTTGGTAAGGGTATAGCAGAACCTGGGTTGTGAAAAGAGTTGTCTTCCAGGATGAAGACTTAGAAAAAGGAGGGAGGAATGTAACGAAACTAACCTGGGGCAATCACCACGACCAGACAGATTAATCGGTAAGAGTGTCTGTTTAGAGTCTAGAAGTCCCAGGTTTTAACCCTTTCACCACTATAGACCATAATGGACTTTTCCAGATCAAATGCATGGTAGAGTTTATTAAAGTTACATAGAGGTTGAAGAGTTAATCACAGTCTGATTCTATTTTTTTTCCTCTTTTGTTGTAAAGATACTTACTGCTTGTGTGAAGGAGTAGACGTAATCTTCGTCTGGGTTACCGGTACTCCTCACTTGCATACGCACCCGGTAGATGTCATTTGCCCTCATCAGATTCTAAAAGTAAATCAGAAAAATCAAATCAGAAAACACCTACAAGTCATCATCGGAACAACCATTTTCTGACAGCAGTTTGTAATGTTTAAGACTCTGGGCGAATTTGTTATCACAAAATGAGTTTAAGTTTCGAACTGGTTTTGTAAACTTTCTTCTTTTTTATGAAAACCAGTGTAAAACTACTTTTAAACTGAAACTGGTTTTTCATTTGTTAAAGGCGAACCAAAACCTGTTCGGAAAACTGATTAAACTGCACCCGGTTGTGGTTTTGTTATTGGTTTCCCAATCAATGATGGCGACGATAGAAAGAGTGATGGTAGAACGTAGCGAATGCAGAGGAATTTTTCAAGAGATCAACCGATTAAACGGCCATCTCTGCTGCGCAGACATTTCTATTATAACTAAATGAATACATTTATTGAATTATATGAATCTTATGAAGTTGACATATTGAAAAATCAATACAAAAAATGTGCAATCTTGAAAAAATGGTTTCGATAATTAATTTGACAAAATACAATTTTATGTTGCTATTTTTTGTTTCCATTAGTAGATTGTACACATTTTTTTATGACAGTCATTTCAACAGTTTTCTACCGATAGTAGTATGTAATCACGGCTGCTTCTTAAGTGCGGGGATATCATCGCCATTATTGAGAAACATTTAAAGTATTAGTGCTGAACAGCCACACATTTGTTTTAAAGCCATGTTTCATGTTAAACCAGATAATTGTTTGAACAGTAGTAAAACCAAAACCAGTTTTGAAACCAAAGCCAAACCAGTTCTAAACCGAAACTATAAACCAAAACTGACTTTGTGATAACAAATTCAACTTCTGACTAACAGTCTGATATCCTTAGTGTAGAAATGAATAGAAGGAGAGAATCACATGTTATTGTAGGGGACACAACTCTTGCTTACCTGATAAAGAATTGATATTTTTAGCAGAAGAATTGGGATGCTACAATGCCCAGTTTCTTCAAATCCAAACACATGGTTTTCAGTTTACAATCCTTAAACCTTTCCTTAGCTAAAAGACATACACAAGATCATTTTTTTTTAAATCAATTAAAAAAATTGGTGTTAATTAAATTTCTGTAATGTTCCTGGACACCATAAATCAGGGTATCAGTGTATGTATTATGTATTATGATCAGTGTGTAGGTAATCGTATCACACTTACCTTTAGCATTCTCTTATCATCTGTTGACAGGTTGACTGGTTCGGAGAGGAATGCTCGGTTGTTTTTCACAGACTTCACTACTACTGTGCCTCGCTTTGTAAACACAGGCACTGCTTGGTCTGAAAAAAATAAATAAATAATAATTTGTGAATAAAAGTGACCTTATAAAACAAATACATTTTTCACCATATAAAAGTACCCCCTTTTTCGTGAAATTATTTTGTTAATAACATTCTATGTCACCTGAATTTTACACTAAACAATAAGACTGAAGGATATAAATTACAACTGATGAAGCCATGCTATAGCCTTCTCATATATGGTAAGTTACAATTAACCCTAAGTTCAGACATCACATTTAAGAAAAAATCCAAACTTAGAAGTACATATAAGGTTTAAAAGATTTCTGAATCTTGCTAGTTGACATTCTAAAATTAGACATCTCAATCTAATTTGTGACATCATTTCAATTTGGGAAGTAGACTAATAGAGTCTATCCTATACAGGTACGGAGAAACCCAAGGGTGTAGACTAATAATTTAAATATAGTCTATCCTATGTAGGTATGGGGATACCCAGGTCGTATGTCCTGTGTAGATATGGGGATACTCCATGGTGTATGAACACTAATATAATCTATCCTATGTGATACCCCAGGGTGTAGACTAATAATTTAAATATAGTCTATCCTACGTAGGTATGGGGATACCCAGGTCGTATGTCCTGTGTAGATATGGGGACACCCCAGGGTGTATGCACACTAACATAGTCTATCTTATGTAGATATGGGGATACCCCATGGTGTATGAACACTTACATAGTCTATCCTATGTGATACCCCAGGGTGTAGACTAATAATTTAAATATAGTCTATCCTA